TCCAAATCCAACTTGGTCAACCAATGAGTTTTTGAAGGGATTGCTTAAAGAGCATGGCTGAGGGGTTTCTCACGGGAGTATAGGTGACCCCCAAACAACTGTATCACCACAAAATCCCATTCGGTCATGAATAATGTCCTTAAGCTGTATCATTGAGTCATACTTTCTGTTAACTTTTCTGTTCACACACACACACACACACACACACACACACACACACACACACACACACACACCCTACCACCACCAACAACAACAACAAATAACAAAAAGAAAATAAACAAACAAGCAAAACCTAGTATCTCCCTTGATCACTTGTTGATTTTAAGGAGTAAGGGCAAGATCCCTCACTGGCTACAATCCCAGGTAAGTATCACGTGACTTCCCCTACCTCCTTCTAACTGGGGAGTACAAAAAGCTCCATTGCCATTATATAGACCTAGATATCTCTGTATTGTTTTCCTTATTTTTTTTTTACCATAACAAACGGTCCAAATCAATCACTCCTCCAAAACTACAGATGTGATGATTATGTTGTCCCCCAAGCAAAAAGCCACACTACAACATCTCTTAAGACTTTTACCAGCCCTCCTAGCTGCTGCTTTCTTAAGGCTACAAAGAAAGGAAATTAATACTTGTCAAATGACTCTGGAGCTAGACAATTTGCTGTATAATTAGGATACATTTACTGTCAAATAGCTTCAAGAAGTTGTTTTATCCCACTTTTTCCCAGTTCTGGGAATCAAACCTAGATAAGTGTCCTACCATTGAGAAATGTCTTAGCCTCCAAGGTGCTCTTTCATAGATTAGGAAATAAAATCTCAAATGAGTCAGAATTTATGGAAGTTAGAAGTTCAGCTCAGCTGTTTTTGTTTTCATCATATCAGACCCTAAATATTTTATTTTTATTTTTTCCATTTACCTTTGTGTGTATATGAGTGTAAATGTGGGTGCACATGGGCTATGCACACATTTGGAGGTCAGGACAGCCTGGTGTGCTGGTCCTTTCTTTCCACATTATTTGAGATGGGGTATCTTGATTTTCCCTGGCATATGAAGGCTAGCTGGCCTGGGGCTTTCCAGGGGGGTCTCTTGTCTCAGCCTCTCATCAACCCAGAAAAGACAGGAGATCACAGATGCTGCTACTACTGTGTTTGGATTATATGTGGGTTCTGGGGATTCAATCTCAGGTCCATACTCTTGCATAGAAAGTGCTTTCAACCTCTGAGCCATGTCCCCAGGACAATAATTTAATTACTGCTGTATGTATGATACTTCTAATTTTAACACTCAGTAGGCTAAGGTAAGAGAATGACAAATTTAATGCCAGCCCAGTGTGTACATAAAGGCCCCATCTCAAAAACTGTGGAACTTAATGTTTCCTTTAAATACTTAAGAATCTATAGTTGACACAGTCTGGAAAAATACCGACTGTCAAAACATGTAGACAAGTAGCTTACTTTGAAAATATAATTTAGATACTTCCATAACAAAATTGAAGTTAAAAGTAAGTTAAATTTAGGTAGAGCATTTGCCTACCACTTGCAAACTTCCTGGTGATACCCTAAGCATCACCAAAAAAATGAAAAAAATTAACCGATATTCAATAAGTACAAAAGTCAAAACATTAAGATTATAATTTAATAATTTAATATGTATGCATTCTGACATTATTGATAAATTTCTACAATTTTTTAACATGAAAAAAGTACATCTTAGAAATGTGAGGCTACATAGGAAAATGAAACATCTTCTGAGACCTAAGGAAGGAATGCGGCCCAAATTTTGAGTGACAACTTCTAAGTTTTCTGAGCTATCTCATTCCTAAATGTACATCTTTGAGTTCTCTAGCTTTATTTTTATAACCCATTTTGTGAATGATGGGCTCTGTCTCTAATCAGTTTCATTTATGTGGCTAATAAATATTTGAGAATAATTTTTAAAAAGGCAGTTGCCAATAACATCTGACAACTAACTACTCAGTTGATATTTAAAAGTTAAAAACTATCAAAGACCCGGATGCCAATCTCAACCCATTTCCTTGTCAGTACAATCTCTTTCCTAGCCCAGATTCAGTTCATCTACAAAAGAGAGAGATCAGTGTACATTTTCTGTTTTTTTTTTCAAGGTATGTTCTTCTGAAAACAAAATCCATGCAGTCCTCTTACATAGTATTGAAACCAATACCCTCTTATGAATTCAAGAGAAAGATGCATTTATTTGTCAACACCCTAAACATTTGTTTCTGATATGTTTTCAGTTTTGCTTTCTCCCATGAAGATTTCATAATGATATTTGAATATATTTAGTGTTGGGTTTTTTTTTTGGGTTTGGTTTGGGTTTTTTCTTTTTTATTAAGAAAATGTTTTGCCGGGCGGTGGTGGCGCACGCCTTTAATCCCAGCACTCGGGAGGCAGAGCCAGGCGGATCTCTGTGAGTTCGAGGCCAGCCTGGGCTACAGCGCGAGATCCAGGAAAGGCGCAAAGCTACACAGAGAAACCCTGTCTCGAAAAACCAAAAAAAAAAAAAAAAAAAAAAAAAAAAAAAAAAAAAGAAAATGTTTTATTCATTTTACATGCCAATCAAAGATCCCCCTCTTCCCTCCTCCCATCCCTCCAGCCTCCCCCTCCCAACCCATCCCCATTCCCTGTTACAAGAAGGTAAGGCCTCTCATGGGGAGGTACATTTAGTAGAAGCAGGTCCAAGCCCCTCCCCCTGCCTCAAGGCTGTGCAAGGTGTCCCATCATAGGTAATGGGCTCCAAAAAGCCCACTCATGCACCAGGGATGGATTCTGATCCTACTGCCAGGGGACCCCTTAAGCAGATCATGTACACAACTGTCTCACTATGCAGAGGTCCTAGGAGGGTAGAGGATGGCAGATGGGCTGGATGGTTGAGCTGGAACAGGGATGGAGTGGAAGAGAAATGAAAGAGATACCATGATAGAGGGAGACATCATGGGGATAGGGGAAAACTGGGTGCTAGGGAAGTTCCTAGGAATTCCCAGGGATGACCCCAGCTTAGACTACTAGCAATAGTGGAGAGGATGCCTGAACTGGCTTACCCCAATAATCAGATCGGTGAATACCCTAACTGTCATCATAGAGCCTTTCTCCAGTAACTGATGGAAGCAGATGCAGACATCCACAGCCAAACACCAGGCCGAGCTCCAGGAGTTGAGTTGAAGAGAGAGAAGAAGGATTCTATGAGCAAGGTCATCAAGATCATGATGGGGAAACCTACAGAGACAACCAAATCAAACTAGTGGGAACTCATGAAATTTAGATCAACAGCTGTGGAGCCTGCATGGGACTGGATGAGGCCCTCTACATAGCAAGGGTTTTGTTTCTTGAGACAGTACTCACTGTGTTATGCATAGGCTGATCTAAAACTCTTGGCCTCAGTTGGTCTTCTTCAGTCTTCCAAATAGCTTAGACTATGGATACATACCACCACACTCAACCTGGTTTTCTTTTTGTTTGTTTTTTGTTTTCTTTGTTTGTTTCTTTTAAATTTTATACATGACTATTTTATTTACATCATTTCTACCTCTACATCTCTACCTTCTAAATACTCACATGCTTCCAACTACCTCTCAAATTCAAGACCTTTTTCTTTATTATTGCTACATAAAGCTACACACACACACACACACACACACACACACACACACACACACACACACATAATGAGCCCATTTACTGTTGCTCATATGTACATGTGCTTAGGATTAACCACTTGGATTGGGATACCCTGTCAGGGGCCTTATATGTAGAAGAAATAGATTCTCCCTCTCTTGATTCCCTATAACTCCTCATATAAGGGTATAACCTTGTGAAATTCTCCCTTCAGCATTGTCCTGCCAATTTTTTCTAGTCATTATGTAAGTCTCATTAAGGAAATCTTATTGTTGAGTTTCATGGGTAAACTTCTCTGTTAATGTCTACTAGAAACAATCTTGCAGTAAGTATCCTGGTCTTCTGGCTCATAGAACCCTTCAGCTTCCACTTTTGTCATGCTCCCTGAGCATTGGGTATACAGATTATGCTACAAATGTACTAATTGGGGCTGGGCACAACAAACCTTCTTAATAATATTCTATGTTAGTTTTTATTTCTTAACTCCATAGGGTATAGACTCTCTTTTTACTCTAAAAAGTATTTTTATGCAATAATAAGTATGATAGTAAATATAAAAAGGAGAACACTGTTGGAGCTGTTGTTTGACTGGTTAGATGTTGGGTTTCGTATTTAGTTTCCATCATCGGTTTTGCATCTCAGCCAGAATCTCATGAAAACCATGAAAAGAGTAACTTAATGACTATGCTTAAGATTATGACAAATATTATAGTTCCTGCTGGCTGTTTTCCATGTCTGCAATAGACAGCGTTGGAGCTGGTGACTGAAACTGCAGACTGAGAAACAGGCTCTTGTAACCCTCATCACTACTTTAAATCATTTTAAAAATCAAAGTTGAAATTAAATGACCATAGCCCTCTTCTTAAAATATATCCAGAGGTGGGGTTGTTATATGCAGCATATACAATAACAACATACTATTATCTAAACATGTAGCTTTTTATATAAGCAGTAATGATTTGCTATAATTTGTATCTAGAAAGTATGGAAATTGCTATTTCCGTACCATTTATTTTGTGGGGCCAGTAGTCGCACCTGCCGATGACGTCAGAGGTTTATGAGTTCCAGCACTAAGCTCCACCTGCGTCCCTTATTCCGTCATGACTCTTGCCATTGATTTTTTTCCTACGATTTCCATCACAACAAGAAAAATCACAATGTGTCCCTTTGTACCTCCTAGCTAGTTGCAGGACTGGTGGTACTACTGAACGTGTGACAAAAATTAATACAGGTTTCTTTTTTTTATTTTCCAAGAGTGGAATGTTTGTAAATATTTATCAATAAAAGTGAATATTGCTAATACTCTACTGTTCTCTTTCTAGAACTTACTTTGTAGAACTTACTTTGTAATGTTTTTGACAGACAACAAAGATTATGATGCCTATCTGTCGTATACCAAAGTGGACCCTGACCAATGGAATCAAGAGACTGGGGAAGAGGAACGTTTTGCCCTTGAAATCCTACCTGATATGCTTGAAAAGCACTATGGATATAAGTTGTTTATACCAGATAGAGATTTGATCCCAACTGGAAGTAAGTTAAAATTTTCACTTGTTTATTTCATTTGTGTGTGTGTGTGTTGTGTGTTGTAAGTATATATGTCTGTCACCATTTTTACATAGCATTTTGTGTCTTAAGAAATTTTGTTTTAGTTTCTCAAGAAAGAAGAAAATGTTTTTATTTGAAATTGAACTTTTAATATGCCATAGGAGATACTTTATCATTCTATAATTATATTCTTTTATTTATTTAAATGTTTATTTAAACCAAATGAGGAATTTCCACCTGGAAAAAATATCTCTAATATTATTAGATCAGAGACCAAAACTCTATCCAACGTGCTTGTTCATCCACTCTTTTCAACTTTACAACGTGTTGACAACAAACAATTCTTACGTACTATGTGAAAGCCTGAGGGCCTTTTGGATCTCTTCTCAGTTCACTTATCCTGGTCCTTCTTCTCTTTATAGCATACATTGAAGACGTGGCAAGATGTGTAGATCAAAGTAAGCGGCTGATCATTGTCATGACCCCAAACTATGTCGTTCGAAGGGGCTGGAGCATCTTTGAGCTGGAAACAAGACTTCGAAACATGCTTGTGACTGGAGAAATCAAAGTGATACTGATCGAATGCAGCGAACTCCGTGGAATTATGAACTACCAGGAGGTGGAGGCCCTCAAGCACACCATCAAGCTCCTGACGGTTATTAAATGGCATGGACCAAAATGCAACAAGTTGAACTCGAAGTTCTGGAAACGTTTACAGTATGAAATGCCTTTTAAGAGGATAGAACCCATTACACATGAGCAGGCTTTAGATGTCAGTGAGCAGGGGCCTTTCGGGGAGCTGCAGACTGTCTCGGCCATTTCAATGGCTGCGGCCACCTCCACAGCTCTAGCCACTGCCCATCCAGATCTCCGTTCTACCTTTCACAACACCTACCATTCACAAATGCGTCAGAAACACTACTATCGAAGCTATGAGTACGACGTACCTCCTACGGGCACCTTGCCACTTACCTCCATAGGAAATCAGCATACCTACTGTAACATCCCTATGACACTCATCAATGGGCAGCGGCCACAGACAAAGTCGAGCAGGGAGCCGAATCCAGATGAGGCCCACACAAACAGTGCCATCCTGCCGTTGTTGCCAAGGGAGACCAGTATATCCAGTGTGATTTGGTGACAGAAAAGCAAAGGACATCCCGTCCCTGGGAGTTTGAAAGGAATCTGCAGTCCAGTGCCTGGAACTAAATCCTCGACTCCTGCTATTAAAAACATGCATTACAATCTCTAGAACACGAGGAAAAACAGGGTCTTGTACATATATTTTTTGGAATTTCTTTGTAGCATCAGTGTCTTCCTGTTTTACCATGTCTCTTACCATTACATTTTTTTTACTTTGTTTTATATGTCATTGGATTTGTAAATTTACATTTTTTTTAAAGAAGAGACTGATGTGTAGATAGAAAACCCTTTTTTTGCTTCACTAATTTAGTTTTAGAATGGGTTTTTAATTTTCTTTTTAAATTTTATTTTGCTTTTAACATTTCCTTGGGGTGCTTGGACAAATCTATCTGACGGGACAAGGAGCACCGGATCCTCTCTCGGGTTCTTCCTAGGACCAGCTGGGCCACGTCGGCCTTCAGAGAGCAGTGCAACTGAACGCCAACATTGCATTGCTGTTTGGGAACAAAAGAGAGAGAGAAAGAGAGAAGAACATTTGTTCATAGGAGGGCCCTGCCAGTCAGAGCCCTGAAATCTCTTCCTTGTCCCCACCTCATTTCCCACCTCTACCCTTCTAATGGCAGCATGATGTGTAAAACTCTGCAGAGGGTAGGGATAGCTCTTAACTGTCTTAACATTTAATTCACTCCTCTTCAGAATACACTCTAGACCCAAAGTTGTGCTAGTCACGTTAACAGTGACCACCACAGAGTGATCACTACATAATGAAGATGGAAGGCATGAAAATGGGGAGAGTGTTGTTTCCGTTTTTTAAAAATGAGTTGATGTACCCTTATATATATATAAATATATATAAATAGAAATACAAATAGAAATATATATAAAACAGCAAAACAAAACAAACAAATAAAAAAACACACAAAAATACAAAACCAAAAAAATATATATATGAAGCCCTATATTTGATCACTTCCTGGAAAGGCATGAATGTGTTTGTGGCTGTTTTTGTTTGAAAATCTACTTCCTCTTTTCCCTCTATAATTAATTTTACTGCAAATGAGATTATGTGCAAATACCAGGCAAGTTAACTCAGATAGGTGAATCAAGGCAAGTAAAAATGAAATTTACTTTGAAGGCTTCCAAACCAAAGGGAAGATCGGGAGGTGTCATCAAATATGTTTTGTCACCTTGTATTATACAAAATGTTATCTTCTGAAGAGTCAGAAAAAACAAAAATCTGTGAAGCTTATTGTGGGGTCCCCTTGTACTTAAATGTTAACTGACTTGTATTTACTTTTCAATGCTACATTCAGTTGATGAACATAAGCAGCATTTATTAATATAAAGGTGTTTAAATAAGATCTCAGGAGGTCAAACATATGAATAACAACACAAACTACTATTTTCAAAATAAATATTATTTACACAAAGTAGTTTTAAATTAGATCAGAAAATACTTAAAATACTTAATTTTATTGTATAGACGTTAATTTAATTTTAACTATATGATTCTATCTTTCAGAAACAGAAAGTTGATGCTCCTAGGGAATTTGTCACTTACCATCTAGCTTTATGTTTGAAATCAGTCACATAAGCAGCTAATTCCTTGTCATGTTAACAATGAAGCTAAATCAATCACAAAAGATTCTGTAGAGGGCAGAATTGTTAAAAGGAAATGTTACCTATGTAGATTTTAGTTGTTTCTTTGTTTGTTTTAAATCAATGTGGCAAAACCACTGATAATAGAATTAAGCTTTATAGAACTTACTTTAGTGATTCATCATAGGAAATTCCTTCTCAGTCATCATTTGTGGGCTCAAGTAGTAACTGCTGTGTTTGCTTTATTCCTGACATACCATATAACGAGAAAACAATTCTAGACTTTAGGTCACAAGGCTAAGGTGTGAGTGGGCCACATAGACATAAAAGTGTAAATTGCAATAGAGGTCATTGGGGAGGGCAAGGTAGAACTATGAATGTATGAGAGACAAGTACAAACATTTTGTAACAATGCAAAGGTCTCAGTGTCTGCAAAGGAGCCTTGGGATGTGCATTGATTTTTATTTGCTTAAGAAATGTTTCCTTCCCTGACAGCTTGCCTGGGTCTTCTCTATAATATGTCTTTATTCTTGTGCTCCCCTTGGTTCTGTGTCACGTTCTCAAAAACCAGAACTGAAGCTACAAGGACACATAAAACTTTAAGGTCAGCTTTGCACATTGGGTTATTTTCAGAACCAGAGAAGGCCATTGTTTACTTTGTACTATGGACACTTGTCATTGGACTGGATTCCAAACTTCCCCAGTACTCAGAAGATTGTAAATGTGGCAATGGCCTGATTTATTTCTTTGTTGTTGTTTTTTTTTTTAAGTTTTTAAGTGCACGGTGGGTGTGTGGAATAAATGTGGAGGAAGTAATCAGACCACAGTCATATTTTAGGCATCCATAGGTGTTAATTTAGCTGCATTGGGAGTACATTTTTGTTCTATTTTTAGTGTAGATTTAAGCACTTTGAATAGCATGATTCAGGGATTGATGGGTAATATTTGATACTCTCACAACTTAAGAAACTTTTTTTCCTCCAATGCTTTGTTATATTTACAAATGGAATAAATGCAAAGGAAGCTATCTATAGCTTTAGAAACATTCCTCCCAAGTTTCTACTCCTCTATCAGCTCCACATGAGAACCAGTGAAGAGAACTCATGGGTTCACATGGTCTATGTGTAACAGAAGTTCTATGAGAACTCAAAATAAAATAAAAAACCATGTATTTCCCCTAGTGCTTAGGTTTCATCCTTCTCTTTTTGTTTGTTGGGGTTCTGGGGGATAAGATTATTCTAGATGTAAAAACACATTTGAAACCGTGAATGTGTTAGCCAAGCTGGGGGGAAGAATGGACTTCCAGACTTGGACATGTGTGATGTTTGATATTGCCTGTTTTTCATCAATTACCGCCTGAGCTCTGAATGATACATTATAGATTCAAAAGTCCATCTGGTTCTTTAGTGTAACCTCAACTTGCTGCTTCTGAGCATCTTAGTCTTTACTGTGGTGCTCAAATCTTGGATTATTTAATTTTTGTTCCATCCCTTTGGTCTTCTACGGGCAGAGAAGACTTACATATGTTGTGCTACCAGCTGATTTAAGTTTAGATGAATTCTACGAAATAAATCAAAGACATGATGAGATCTGAACTTATTATATTTCTATAGCTAGGCATCTGATTGTTCAGTCAACCATTTTGTAATTATTATTTTCCTCATAGTATATGTATTTGGACTCTATCAATTTACTCTTAAATATGTAGATGCTGATTTCTTCCATATTTCATTGTTAATAAATATTTTATAACAAGAGGAAATATTAACTGAGAGCCAATTCCTAAACTCTAAGTACGCTTTGTTTATCCTAGAATAGTCATTAACTTTTCGGATATCATTTATTTGAATTGCAATTACTATTTCTAGGAAAATATTTATTTGTACAATGTAAGCTGTTTTCTGATTCTGGAATGGTACCCTAGCTCTCCTTTTAAAGGAGCAGTTTTTAATCTTGGATTTAATTTCTTCTTTTTTATTTGTTATTTTGTTTTTGAGACATGATTCAGGCTAGGCTACCCTCAAGCTCTCAACACTCCTGCCTCAGCCTCTTGACTGCTGAGATTACCAGCGATTTCTTCTTTATTAATTTTAGTTTATATCCTAGAAGAAATCTTATTGAAATTCTAAGGAAAGCATCAGAGTCACACAAGTGAAATCATTGAATGGATCTAAGAGAACACACATACACAGAAAAGGAAAATGCCTTATTGTCTCTGATGTGAATTTGTTTGGCCATTAATCCCATTACTAATGTAGTTGATGAATAGAGGTGAAATATTAAATATGTTAGAAATCCCACTAGATTCATATTCCCTATTGTAGAAAATGTTTCCAACCATGCATTCAGTTATTAAAAGGAAATCACAATGTGACTCTATAGTAAAAGAAGAAAATTTTGTCAATGGAAGCATAGACTATTTCTTGACTTATCATGGATCTTTCCCACCTGATTATTCTGAACAAAGAGAGTAACCAACAGTTTCAATTATTCTTAATAATAGGCCTTACATTTGAGCTCAAGAATATCCTGGCTCTATAAAAATCAACTAAAGGAAATAATGAACATATTTGAACTTTCAGATGAGATTGATAATTGTGTAAATCTGTTTTCCTGTGTGTGACTCTCAAGACTTACAGCACCTCAAAACCTGATGTTTAGATTCAGAGGACAGTCTCATAGGCTAATATTCAGATAAACTCACTTATCTTGCAGACCTTGTTATTTGTTATTTTATCTTCATTCATGAAAATTCAAGGGTGACTATTGTTCTTCTAACAGAGAAAAATCCTCATCAAAAATGGCCTAATTTTATGAGAGACATGTGAAACAGTGAAAAAAAGTTAAACAGTGATATGTAATTTATACACAAACAAATGAGAAATATCTATCATTATTAGGAAAATTTACTCATTTCTATACTCATTTCAAACAGGAGATACACAAAATCATATAGTTTGAAAAGTATGACTTATTTCAATATTTTTTTCATTTGTTTTTAATTGCACTATCTACCAAAAAGGATTCAAACAGTAGAGAAAGAGAAGAAATAACCATTTGATGTGTTTTCCTAAAAGAAACCAGTTTTATTCTGGAAAAAAAACAGAATTTGTTATGTGCTTCATTTTCAGTGATTGAGTCTTTGCTACTTTCACAAATTCTAATATGACCTTTGAACAATACATACAGTTTTGAAAAGAGAGGTGTTGGTGATTTATAGTTGCAGTTATTTTTTGATTCGTTACAGAGGGAAAAACCTATGCTCTATGTTAAGAGAATGAAATACTGTCAGAAGGAGCCATAAAATCTTACTTAGCCTGAATAAAACAAAAGAAGGAGGAGGAAAGTTCATTCTAATCCTAACTTAATGTGCCCTTATCATAATCAGACTTTGGTTAAATCCATAGAAAATGTCTTGAAGAAGAAGGAAATCAACTTTAATTTTCCATTCAGTAATTATGTCTTTTTTACAGGCTCAGAACAGAAAATGTCTCTTCATTACAGATAAGATATGCATATATGTATTTATAAGATGCACAGGGTTTTATAAATATATTTGTGTAAATTCCTTCTATTCATTAGTAAATTTTCCTCTGATAGCCTCTGCGTTCAATGACAAACTCATGCTTCTGAATCCTTCATTAAAGTAAGTAAAGTTACTTTTCTTTTTTCTACCATTTACTTCTCAATGATACATCCTCCAGTGTTCATACATCTGAAATTTTTCTCTTTCTAACAAAAGGAAGCACTCTAAAAATTCATTACACTGTGTTCCCTCTACTACCAAACAACAACCTCAGAAAAACTGCCCATGAACTTCAGAGTACTACATGTAATATCGATGTTGTGTAAATTTCAATCTTCATAATCTAAATGTTACCTTTCAAAAGGCATGCTGTGTCATTAAGAAAAAGATTTAATGTGAAATGACCTTATTACATAGTGCATGAATATGTGGCAAAGTAATATGGATCTATCTTTACTAGTCAATGAGAAGTTAAATTTGGGGAGATCAAATGTGCTTTAGGTTACAGTTCAATTGGGAGGATGGCTTCTTAATGTTAGGATACATGGGCAGTGGTCCATACTGCTTGCAGTATATGCTCCTGTTGACAAGAATCCTCAGTGTATTCTTTCCACCAAAGTAGTGGACATGTGTTCATATAATCTGCTATTTAATTACAACTTTTCCATCTTCAGAGTTTGAGGGAACCCAAATTGGAAAGTGGATGAAGTCATTTTCCTCTGCTGGCGTTCAAGTCATATTTTAAACTCAAACACTCTCAGATCTGTTCACAGTCAGTACAAGTGCATTTTACATAGTACTTCTCTTAGTTTTGCTCATCCTCTTTTGACTTTGTACAATCTAGAATGTATGTAACTCATGAGTAGGTGATGGGGGCGCTCCTTTTTTTCTTAGAATACTTACAATTATATATTTGGTTTTGCTTTGACTAGCAATAGGAAAATAGACAAATACAAGTGTAAAAATGAGAAATTTTAAACTCGACTTATAATTTGTGTTTTATAGTCGTTTCATAAGTCTGTTGCTCTCTATGAGTATGCTCTCTATATATCCTGTAAAAATAAATTTATATGTTACATAGAAATTCAAGAAATTAAATTATTTATTAAGCTACAAGTGTTTCTTCTGATTTCTACCTGATAATAGATGACAATAAATTAAATTATGTGTTGTTGGAACATATATAAGTATGTTTGTTAATTCAATAACTCTTGTTATAATTTTCCTTCCCTTTCTTTGTAAGCTTATAATTCTTAGGCCTAATTCCCACCATGATTGTAAGGATAGACTTAAGAAATGCCCAGTTGGCTTGGGAAAAAAGGAAAAGGAAGACTGGTTGAAAACCAAGTCTATTTGCAATCATGTTTTATCCTTCACTATAGATTTAAACAGATTTGAATCGCTAATTCAAAACACTTAAAGTCATTATCACATGAATAGTCTTTTCGAGGTTAAATTCCGCATGTTTCCTTTGAGAAACAGAAATGAAAGGAATGATAACATGTGAGTCCTTTGCTGGTTCCCTTTCTTCTGGGTATTTTCTCTTTTTAAGGTACTATTCGCATGATGACCTTGAAATATTGTCCCCTCAGATATTTTACAGTGAGCAAGATCTTGAGTCATCTGGTTTTTCTACTTGTAACGCATAGTCATTCCTAAAAGGAAATGAGTTAGACCTTACTTTGTGTTTTTAGTTGAAGATAAATAACCTTGTGTAGCTAAAGTTTTCCTGCCTGGCCCACAGTCAGGATGAATCTCTCTCACCCGCCAGTCCCACAACTGCTCAAACCCGACCAAGTAAACACAGAGACTTATATTGCTTACAAACTGTATGGCCGTGGCAGGCTTCTTGCTAACTGTTCTTACAGCTTCAATTAATCCATTTCCATTAATCTATACCTTGCCACATGGCTCGTGGCTTACCAGTATCTTTACATGCTGTTTCTCATCATGGCGGCTGGCAGTGTCTCTCTCACCCAGCTTCCTGTTCTCTCAATTCTCCTCTCTGTTAGTCCCGCCTATACTTCCTGCCTGGCCACTGCCAATCAGTGATTTATTCATTGACCAATCAGCAACACATTTGACATACAGACCATCCCACAGCACTTCCCCTTTTCTTTTCTTAAAAAGGAAGGTTTTAACCTTTACACATCTCCAAAGTTAGCTTGGTATATTTGGGAATTTGGGCGTAGTTTTTTACTACTTCCTGCTGGAGGGGGGTGCTGTATCTGATGGGGACACAAAGAATACTTTAGGATAATGGAGTAGTCCATGAGGGTGTATCGTCTGAGCCAGTTGCCTTGAAACGGTTCTGGATGTTGGATCATCTGGGCCATGGTGTCATTGGAGACCTTTCAGGTGGTCTTGGCTGGTCAAACCTGATGTATCTTAATCTGGAACAAATCCATAGCCTCTGGCTTTCTGTGGAAACAAAAGCAGAGCCTCCTTTCCAAAGCAACATATCCTTACATCCAAATTTTGAAGTCAAGGTACCATTAAAATATACATTTTGGCATAACTCAACAGCTTTTGTAATCAAATGTTTTTCTTCAGTTACAAATATCAAAGAGAACATAATCCAGATTCTCTGTGTGGTAGCCATCTTTACGTGGCTTATTTTTTTATATTAGCTTGAGCCTATTGTTTTGAACTGCAGC